AAGAGAGCCTCTTTTGCTCCTGCTTTCTTCGGCTTCAAGGGCGCTCACCCGAGTTCACTCTGGCTGGCCGAAAACTGGGGACTCTGCACAGGTTCCGAGCCGTGGCACTGGAAGCTTCAGATTCGTTACCTCAGGTTTCCATTTGATATTTTTTTGTGATTATGGATTTACAAAAGAAGATCTTAATCAAAGTGGAAAGACTATGCAAAAGAATCTGTCAGGAATTTTCTGCTGAAAACCACTCGCAGCTTGTGTACCGGGATAAGGAAGTAACAAACTGCAAATGCGCCCAGTTCTGTTCGGGAGGCTTGTTTATATAGCTGCTCTGCACTTTTTAGCACGTAGGAAGTTGTGTGCAGCCAGTAGGATTGCAGGAGTCCCAGCAGTAACCATTGGTCGAATTTTCAACCGAGATTAGTGTGCTGGCATATTTGCTGTGACAAAAAACCCTTTGTGTAAAGGAACAAGTTACCGACGCTGCTGAGAACTTTTTTTACCGTGGGTCTTTTTCCTGTTCCTGAAGAAGCAGAGTTTGGAGACCTGACGGGCACTTTGGCGGCCGGCTGCAGCGCTGGAAGCGGAAGGAGGAGCAGGGTGACCTGGCGGAGGCTGGCTGCCTTCGCAGGGCAGGGAAGCGCTGCCTGTTGCAGTGCCTGTAGTGAGTTCAGTCTGTTGTCTGAATGCATGTAGTAAATACTTGTGTAGCAGTTAGTAGCACTGCTAGAAGCAAACCTATTCTGTACTTCATGCAACATGGAAGAAGAAAATGCGGTGCCTGGTTGTAGTGAGCCTTCAGACCTGGAGAATACAGCAGAAAGCAAACCTGATCTTTTCACTACCTTTTCTGTGGAAGCACTTTTTGGATTTACAACTAAATTTGAATCTACAGCTTCCAAAGAGGAAACAGTGCTTAAAGCATTTCAACCTTTGCACACCAATATAAATACTCATGCTAACACCTGGCATGAGAGGAATGATAATGATTGTAATGACGACTCAGAAAATCAGCACAGCATGAATAGTACCAGTGGCCAAGCTGACCCAATGTCTGGCGGGCAGACTGACCTGGAACTGGAGTTAGCTGAACAAAATGAATTCCTTCTTCACCATTTAAGGTTTGTACAGACTTCTTTGTCTGAAGCTGACAGTGATGACAAGGATGCTATTCTCGTACAAGGTACTTTGGTTCATACAACAAGTGATACAGAATCGGACACGGAGAGTACGGACCTAGACACTGATGAAAACAACACAAGCGAATCTGGGCTAAATAATGCTGCTTTGTCTGCCGAGGCTTTGGATGATAACAATCAAAATAAGGAAGAGTCAGAATCAGAAGGGCACAGCAAGAGTGATAACAACACTGTGGGTACAGATGACATCGAGTTACACCCACCAATTTCTAAGCAGCTCCCAAAAGAGCTGGATGGTATTCTGGAGCATGACTCCAATGGAAAAGACAAAATGTTAATGGATGAGCAGTTCAGTCACTTGCTTGCTACAGGGGAATGCCCTCAAGAACTTCCAGGTGAAGAACAAAGACCTTCAGCTGATAATACATTGCTCCAAAAAACAGCGCTGGCTGAAAAGACTTTCCAGCTGCCTGCTTTCTTTAGTGGACTACGTGTAAGGAAAAAAGGACTAACCACAGAGGATGGGGAAACTGTTACAGAAATTAAACCAAGGGAAAATGATTTAGCTCTGCTTAAATTACGACAGCCTGTTAAGAAATCCAGTATTACAACAGGTTTGACCACTAAAAAAAAATCAGCTGAACCTAAAGCAAGTCCTACTTTCCTGGAACAACTCTCACACTTGTTAAACATAGACGTCTCCAAGAATGAAGATAGAACCGAGGACTCTGGTGAGGTATCTGGGGAGACCGAGGACAGTGATGAAGCTCAAGAGAACAAAGCCTCTGGCAAAGAACCACGATTTTCCTCTGAGGAAATAAAATCAAGCCCTGCTGAATCTGCACTGGACGTCTTTAAAGCTTTATTCACACGGCCTCCCAAAAAAGAAACAACTGCAGATACTTCAGAGCTGGAAGCCCTAAAACGCAAAATGAGAAATGAAAAAGAGTCCTTGAAAGCTGTGTTTGAAAGGTCAAAATCAAAACCTGGGGATGGACCATCAGACAAATCCGTAGGTTGAATTACATTTTATTCCTAAGATCTGCAAGTAAATGGATAAAAAATAATCTCTTGTTTAAAAATTACTGGTGGGGACTTAGGGTCAAAATGCCAGAATTCTCATCTTCTTTTGGCAATCTCAAATTCTGGAGAAATCTTGGGGCTAATTTGTCAAAATTCTTGATCATCTGCAGTTGTAGAAGAATTCAGTGAGAACTGGTGATAGTCACAGCCTTTCAATTAGAAGACAGAACTTAAAAATCAGGTTCTGATTTTAAAAGATCACTACAAAACAGTTGCCCGTATGTTAAGTATGGCTTTAAATCAGTTTGCTGCAAATATTTACTGTAGTATTAATTAGTAGTTTCTCAATCTCACTCTTTTATTTCACAGAGTTTTTTATTTTTAAAAGTAACATTTCATTTTACCTTTAGGAATAATTCTATGATAAAAACTGATACAAGAGGTTATGGATGATTTTCAACTCAGTTTGTCAGAGACATAAAATTTAAAGTAATTTTTTTTCTTATTTACATGCATATATCTGGCTTTGCAAATACTCATAAGCATTTAACCTTATCCAAGTATAACTCAGTGATTCCAATTAGACAACTCAAGTTATGGATTACTATAAGCATTTGCAAGGTTAATATTCTTAGGCATATAGAGATTTAGTTAGTATAGTTTTAAGAAATGAAAAAAAAATCTATGCTAAGTTTTCTTAGAACCATAATGATAAATTAATTTGAGTGTGATTTGAACTCTTTAATGAAATGAGTAACCCTTGGGTTGGGCTTCCCCCAACCCAAAATTCTTGCAGCTACATTTTTGCAGATATAATCAGTCCAGAAGATTGTTCCAGTTGGCTAAAGGGGAGATTATATGAGTGATTAAATTTGCAGGATTGGACCCTAAGCCTGAATGAAGCTACTTAAGTTAATTTGCTGTGTTGGTCGTACTCTCTTTCAAATTTTTATTCTTACATAAAATTAAAACCTTTTCAAAAATCTTGACTGACACCTGGGTAGACTGATAATACCAGTTGGTAGTAAATTACCTATGGGGAGGAGAAAAGAGGTACTCGTTGGCCATGGCATGTACAACAATTGCAGTCTGTGTGTGCTCTTCCCATTCCTGGCTTGCTTCTTCCGGCTTACACCATTCCCTGCGCTGTGCTGGCGTAAACGTTTGTGTGGCTCACAGCAAACCTATTTGGGAAGGTGTCATCACCCACGGCGAGGTAGGAAGCACAGGAGTCAGCAGGAGTGGCTTTTCTAAACGGCTGCTTAACATCCCATCTAGTACAAATGTACATTTTCTCAGGGCAAAGCCAGCGTAAAAGGGTCTTGCCTTTCCTTTTTCCTTGCTCATGTGGGCCATTTAGGGGGCCCCTGTCACACAGGGTTTTACTGTTGCTGCAGTTGTGTCTCTGCAATTACTTACAGTAGCATGTTGTAAATCCGGTTACAGAAATGTTAGAGATGTAAAAAACAAAACCAAAATGTAAACCTCTAAAAGACTGCTTGTTTAGTGTTTTAGTGGGGGGGAGTGGGGGAGTTCCCCATTTAAAGGGTTATTTTAGCATTCCAGGTGACAGTGCAGTCCCATTAGCAGCTGCAGCAGCACCTTGATGTGGCACTATTACGTGGTATGTGGACAGAGCAAGCTGCTGGGGGTGGGGCAGGAATTTCATAAACTATCTCTGCTTCCAGAAAATTATATTGGCAAATGACATCTTAGGTGAATCCCACTAATGTTTGTTTGTAAGAGGAGCACAGATGGATCTTTTTAGTCTGAAAAAAAGATACAGAAAAAAAACCTTAGTGTTCTTGACCACCTCTATGGTTCACCAAAGGATAGACAGCTTTCCACACTGATGCGAACAGTTTCAACAAATCATTCTATGTCACATGCATTATGTTATTTTCGCCTCAAAATTATTTTTCTAGACTGATTTTTTTTTTTTTTTTAAATCCCTTCCAACCAACTGAGCACTGTTTCAATCAGTAGAATGAGACAACCATTCTGGATTACACATGTCGAGCTGAGCATGGCAATTGCTGTTTTGGAACCAATTGATACTGCAGACTTCAATTTTCCTCTTGTGTAATTTTAACAGCCTGACCTGAGTCCCTCAGAGCAAGATGACAAGACTCCAGGGAGACTCCAGACTGTCTGGCCGCCACCAAAAGCAAAGCACGAAGAAGTGAAAGTAGGATTAAAGTACACAGAAGCAGGTAAAGCAAAGTGGTGAAGCATTTGCAGAAATTAGTTTCTAACATTTTTAATCTTGTTTAATACAGAGATGGTGATAAGTCACAGTATTTTCTTACCTGGAAAAGCAACTTTATATTTTGATGTATTGTTTACTGCTGCTTGTTAAGCATCTGTTTTTTAAATGTAAATGGCTAAATCTGTGTTGAAACCTAAATGCTTGCTTGCGCAAATTCATGAGGAAAGAAGTGGATTTTTTTGATAAATTAGGTTATCCATTTCTAATGGGATTCTGTTCAGATGAGTGGCAGAATAGTGAATGAATGGAAACCTGACTGCCTTTTCCATTGCTTTAGAATGCGGTGGGCAGTGACCTGCCGGACTCCAGTGTGACTGCAGATTTTCTTCAGGTAGTGTCCAGAATAAAAGTAATGAAAACCATTATTGCAACTTGTGTATAAACAGTGGAATACTCATATCCACTCAGATCACTTTTATAGCTAGCCATGTATGTGGTCCTATACAGATGTACAAGAGGGTATGTCTGAAGTGCAATGCTAACTAGTGATCAGATAAACTTTCCACAGAAAAATACCTCTTAATTTTTTGTTACTTAGATAAATACCTACATAACATATTTACAAGGGAAAAAGTAATGATGGTAGCCACCGCAACTCTGTTTCAAATTTGTGTTGTTAAATCTAAAATGGGAAGACCTTGTTACTCAGAAATTGGTCATAAACTGTGGAATTGTCTGAAACATTGAAATGAAAGGCAATAGACAGTCTGTTCTTCATGTACCTGGAGATTTTAGAAAATACCACCTAGAAAGGATTAAGTGGAATTAAAAACCAAGCTTTTACACTACCTTCCTATGAGAAATTGTACAGAGCAATGCTGTATGGTTCTTTCCAATTCCAGTGGATATCGATTTGGCCTTGTATACAAGAAAGAATAAATAGTAGTGCATCTACTGCTTTGTATTGTTTAGTGTATTACTTCTTTCTCTCTCTTTCCTCAGTTTTCTTCGCCTTAATCTTCCTTTTTTGTAAAGTGGGCATGATACTGGAAGCATAAAAGTTGCTGGAAGATTGAGAAAACTTGGTTTTGACAGGAACAACATGGTTCTAATATAGACAGAATTGAATTTACAGAGCATCTGATCGGTCTGAGGTGAGGGAGTCTATCACTAGATGACCAGGACAGGTATTCAGCTGTTGACAAGGAGTGCCTCAGGATCTTTCTGTTGCTCTTGGATTATTATAGGCTATATGCTTGCTATATTTAATTTTACCCAAATACATTGTTTTTTTTCTCCTAATGACTGTAATTATCTGTGGCAAAAACATATGCTGAAATAAAGAAAGGAAAGGAAACTGAATTAACAAAAGCTCCAGATTCTACTACTTGTAGAGAAATTAGGTCATGCTTTCCTGAATTTTAAATAGGAAGGACAGACTGGCTTAGAGCCTATGTAAATTGTTACTCTTTTGTTACTGTGATATTTTGGGTGGCAGTGTCATCAACATGCTGATGGTTGGTTTGCTAAGTCAAATTTTTATACAGAACAGATTCTGCAGTTCATTAGTCACTCCAGTGTCTGGCAGAGAGAAGGATTCGAATGAAAACAAACTGCTGGTGATTCAGCTAGGATGACACAGAAGCGGTGCTTTTAAAGGAAATAAGCAAAGACTGTGTTTGCAACATAAGAGTGCAGTAGAGTTCTAGGCGTACCTTAGTGATTAGTAGGTTTGTGTTTCTTTCAGCTGTTCATGGATGTCCAGAAAGCAGTTGTGGCAGCAAGGACACTGCAAGCAGTTGTAAGTTGCATGTGATGGATCAGTTACATCTGCTTTTATGAGTGCTAGGGTGACTGTTTCAAAGCACTACACATAGGAATGAATTTATGTGGTCTTCTGCAAGTAAAGGAAGTTACTGTTCATGAGTAGAGCTGATGTAATGAAAAAAACAGAGTTTGTATTCAATGTTGGTCTTATTGCTGGGGGACAGGGTTTGTGGTGGTGTGTTTTTTTTTTTTAAATGAATATGGAAGTGGCAATACAGCACTGCTTCTAAACTCAGTATCTTCTCTCTGAAAGTGGTTGGTACCTTCAAAGTGCATGTGTATACCGGCATTTCCCCTCATGCCCCTTCCCATCCAAAATTCCATCCCAGTCACCAGTATGTTAAGAACTTCTTGTCCACAAAGTGGGCTTCTTAAAAACATTGTATAAAGCAAGCTAATGATCACCATTAAAACAACTGGTCTCAACGTGAAACCTTATTTCTTACCCCAGTGTCTTGTCCTGACGGCTAAGATCAAATGAAAAATTCTTGATTTCAGAATACTGTTCAAAAATTGTGTGTGACAGGGATGTTTGTGATTCCAGTCTTCCTCCACTGATATTTCTGAATGGATGATTATCTGTAACATAAAAAATGCCCAAGTGGCTAGTTTTAAGTTTCAGTCAATGATTTATGTTAGTGTTTTAATTTCTGTGATTAAGAGTTTCATTTACTAAAACAATAGGAATCTATATACAAACAATAATAATATGCTGAATTATTAGGTAAGTATTCATTTATCACAGCTTTATTTTAGGTTTAAACAAAATATATGTCACAAGTGTGATCACATCCAAGGAAAATCTGTGGACATAAGTCTTTGTACTTCGAACAGGATACACGAATATGTACTTAATTTATGAGGCAACATAGATTTTTTGCATTTGTCATGAGAAATTGATATTTAAAGTAACACTGAAGATTTGAAAATTGGAATACTGTAATCTTTCTCACAATTCTGCAGTAAGTCTTTGATTTACTTCCTTCATCACCATGCACTATGGCAGCTATGACAGGAAGGTAGGGATATTGAGGGAGAGGATTCCTGGCTTTTTGATCTTTTCTCACCTCCTTGACATGTTTTTCCTCATTGTTCTTGCTGCCTAGTGGAAGCAAGAAATTCAGGCTTAATTTGGCCTACGCAGCAGACATCACAGTGACTCATAGCAGCTTGGAGGAGCAGCTAACTCCCTCCTGAGGCTCGTAGTCTGGCTTGATGTGTGGGAAACCAACTGAAAAGCAAATGGACATAACAAGGAACACGTGTGTGGGGCTGACTAGGCCTGTTAGGAATATTAGAAGTGAAAGACGTTAGTGAACAACTACAACTCTGCAACAGGTTTTTTTAATGCCTTTGAAAACATCTTCTGTAGTCATAGTATAGTCACCCCCAACACCCGAATCTTGAGTTGTAAATTTTTAATTAAAAGGATGATACTATGATATTTTGGCATATCTTACATTTTCTTAATCCTTTAATTCCTCTGTTTCCATAGAGCAACTGGCTCTCTGTAATTAGCGCAAGCTGCTTACATGGTTCTCTAGAGAAACTGGAACTTCTTTGAAGTGTGTCAGTCTAAAATAGTTGAAGTCCAGAAAGTCTGTAGTACATTACACCATTTATATCCTGGAAGACTAGAAAAAGGGTATTTTAATTTATAGTTACAGACTTACTCCATGGAAATCTTTCCTGTATAATCGAAGACACTTTTGTGCATATTTCTCTGGTCCTAAAGTTCTGTTCATCTGTTTTCCTTAAAAGTTTCTTTTTCTTTTTTTTCCATAATTCTTAGAGAGCTTTCTCCCATTTTTAAGATTAAATCTGATAGAAGGGTAGGTGTGTCAGCTACTATGTATGGTGAAAACATCTAGCCAGGTAGAGGAGACATATTCATGTCTATACTGAGCGAACTCATCTACGATACTAGATCACATAGAAAGCACATATAATGAATGTCTCAGCTGCTGTGTATGACTGGATCAGCACTTGCAGCCTCTCATGTCCAAGAAGAGGAGTTTAGACATGAGTTCTGCTGCTCATAGAACTACTTCAGTTTGAAGAACAGTCTGCACGTTAAGGTCATATAGATATACAGATCCTGTGATTCCTATTAAAAATGCATTTTTAGCCGTTAGGATCAAAATAGAAAATGTAAAAAAAAAAAATCAAGATGAAACATTAATCCATTTAGTGCTTTTTTCATTACATGTTTTCTTGTTAATTCAAATGTCTGTATTTAACATTAAAAAAACATGTTCTTTCACAGTCTGTCTCTTCATCACCCTTAAATCTGCAATGAGGTAATGCTGTCTCTCTGGTGCCACAATTTCTATAACAACAGTCTGTGATGCTGTAAGCACAATTTTCAGGGTAAATAAGAAGATCACGAGGTGACTAAGAAAGCTCTTATTAAACAAAAAGTGTCTCAGTAAATGGTGGATGAAATACAAAATATTGGCAGAGGTTTATTGCCAAGACTCAAATATATTAAAGCCTTGGTCCCCTGTGCTCTGGGTTCCCAACAGGAAAGTCACTTTATGGTCATGATGTAAATGCAGAGAATAATCAGCTTATGTGAGAGAAAGAGAGGCATAATGGTCTGACCAAAGAGATGAGAGATAAGAACATGATTTCTTATCTTTCTTTAACATAAACTTCCTTTGTGGCCTTGAACAATTTGTGTTTGTCTCTAAAAAAGACATAATGCTTGATGTTGTTAATGTCCTGAAAGAAGTTGTAACAGTGGCTGCTAATAGTTGGTTTCATATTAGAATAAATAAAATAAACTTAAATTACTAAAAAAAAAGGGGTTTTTTTAAGTGTGGTATTTGGGGTTTAGTTCTGGCATTCTATTATACATTTTATTGTAACGAATTAGATGAAGAAGGACTACAGCAAGCAGGATATTATGCATTGGTTTAAGATAGTGTTTTGGTGATTTAATGGTCACTGATAAATTTGACATGGCCTCAGAGTGCAGGTGGGCTGCATAAAGGTTTTGTAAATTACTTTACTACATTTTACTACATTTATTGTGCAGCATGACAGGCATATTTGACCATGTTATGTCAGTGTTTCATATTCTGACAAATACACTAGCTTGTTATTGAGAAGCTGAGCTTTTTATTACAAGCCAGATTGTTGTAGCCAAATTATAGTCCTCTAGAGTAACAATGA